AAAAAAAAAAAAAAAAAAACAAATCATTTACATTTTGCTACTATTTTTTGCGCGAAAAATTTAAAGAAACCTGAACTTTTTCTAAGCGGAAGTAATACTTTTTTTTAGATGATAGCAAGTAAAAGAAATAAACCTTGGGAACGCGTGCAAAGATTAATCGATGTTCAAGAAAGCCTCGGTATGACCGTAGATGAAATGGTTTCTGTTGTAACAACCGATCTTCACGAAGAGCCATATACTTTAAACGAGGTACGCAGTTGACACCGATTATGGTCGTATTAAAGTTTTAAACGTTGAAAAAAACATCGCGGTGATAAGATATCGTATCAGTCGCTTTTTGTTTTTTTTTAAATTTTTACAATGGTTCGAGTAAATATATTCATCGACTCTTTACTTACCAATTATCGACAGCCTTGCACTTTTTTTCTTTTTTTTTTTTTTCTTCTAGATTAGCAAAAATCTCGACACGACGAACGAGAAACTTCGAGAAATATCGTTACTGCAGTGTTTTAGCGACGCGCAAACTTTCAAGCTGAAGCAACGCGCCCTCCACGTATATCAAGGTATACAAGACCTATGGTGAAATTGTTGCATGCTGATCAGGAATCTGGAAAATATTTTTCGTCTTCACTCATATTTATTAATTTGAGAAAATCCCAGAAGAATTTCGCTGTGGTAAACAACGTCTTACGTATTCCATTATTCCCCTCGGAAAAATTCTCGCCCGACTTCAACCGCATCTTCAACGGAATAATTCATACATGCAAATGCCATCGTCATTTGCCAAAGAAACTTTTGCCAATTTAACACTGTGCAGAAACGCTGAAAGAATTTCAAATACTAGAGTTCGTAGAAATTCGCAAAAATTTACAAAGAATTCGACCATCATTCCTCCCAAAGATCCGTGGAGACGAACAAAGAAATCAAGCTACTTGTGTTCCATCAAGGGGAATCGAAGATTTTTAGGCTGGTTGAAAGGGAACAGCATCACGTACTCATCACTCACATCCATTCCTTTGTAGAGCAATAAATTCCCGCAACGTCAATTTATCGATTGCGACCGTAATTAGCTGTGTTTGATTCAAGCCGCAGAAATTATTAATTTGAAACGTAACGTCAAAACCGTGTGCAACACCCATTTAGATATTTTGCTCTCACGATCACTTTGAACCTCGTTTAGCCAAGCGATGAATTTCTTTTTTCACTTTATCAATAAATAAATCGCTGAATCCAGCTTTTAGTTGGATTCTGCGAAATTCCCACTGAAATTCATTATAGTCTCATTATGTCGTTACTCACGTATAAATAATAGCGGTGCTCTTTAGCGAGTTACTTGAAACGATTAAATTATGTATGTTCGTCGCAAATATAAGAGCACTACACATGTACTCTCAATTATGAATGCAAGTGTACAGTTTGTACGTATACATTGTTACGATTATTAACCCTTTTGCTTCAATACAATCGAGATAACTGCCAGGCTTGATTTGACGCTTTTGTGAATTTCATAAAGAACGTAACAAACGCGATTGAAATATCGGCCCACGGCAATTTTCGCATAAGCATCCACATAAGGTCCATATATAAACTGCAGTCTGCGTCGAATCACCCATTAACACGAAATTGTATCTCGTACGAATTTTAGAAGCAGCCAGAGTGGTCAAGTTCTGTCGTATCAGCGAAGAGAACGCCATTGTGGAAGACGAAAAATTACGGCAGCTCGGCAGCCTGATGTCCAACAGCCACATTAGCCTTCGCAAGCTGTACGAGTGCAGCCATCCCAGTGTTGACTCGCTGGTCGACAAAGCTATAGCATGTGGCGCACTCGGAGCAAGACTCACGGGAGCTGGGTAAGTGGAATTTTGTACTCGAATAACAGTTGCGTCACGTGCCAGTTAATTAAACTTTAACGTATAGAGTGGCAAATGCTATACATTTTGCACTCGTGGCGTTTGAATTGAATGATCAAAGGGAACGGAACCAAGAAGGGACACATCAACGCATGTTCAATTTATGAACCAGCAGTCGAGTTACGTACATCCGAATGAATATATTTTATACACTTGGACATGAAACTTTCATCGAGACTTTATGACTTCTACTGACATCCGTGAAAAGTGCTATACCTTAGAATTCTAATCTGCCAATTACGATCTTCGTCGTAACAGTCCACATTTTTGCCAATGAAAATGGAAATGCAATACGAAAGACTTTGAAAAAATATACTTCTTTTTTAATATCTTTGCTTGTAAAGAAAAAGGACATAAACTTTTGATGGGAGGATATAAACTTACTGCGTTGAATGTATACTTCGATAAAAAAAAAAAAAGAGAAAAAAGATCGATCCATGGGTGTGTTTACCAGCATAGAGTGTATCCAAGAAATTACTTTTATTACACCATAACACGCAACCTGAGCGCTTATAAGCACTTCAATGTCGCCAACAATATCTTAGACACACTACAAAATCATTAATTATCAAAAACGTCGCATCTCTTGATTTGATTCCGTCGATACGAACTTCATCGCACGTATTATGAAATAGAGGATAAAATTAATAAGATGACACGGTCTAAAATAATTTTATTCTACATAGGTGGGGCGGTTGCATAGTGGCTATCGTAACGAGAGACAAGGTTTCGCAATTTGTGGATACACTGAAAAAGGAGATTAGTCGATCTGGAATAAAAGATGGATTCAAGCTCGGCGATCTGGTCTTCCCAACGGAACCGAACCAGGCAGCTGCAATTTATATGACCTAGTTTTTTGCATTTGTATGTAATCGCACTTTCATCTTGCATTTTATAAATCGTCGACCAATCTATTTATCAATAATTATCATTTGTTGTGATATCATATACAACGTGGACGAGAATTGAGAGTTTCTTCTCTTGCCTGTCTGAAAAGTCTGAGAGGAGATTGTAGTTCGATTGATATCGTTTCATAATGACACAAATAGAAAATCACTGTTCAGAGTAAATTTGCATCTAACACAGTGCAGTTCTTGCTGTTTATACCGATTGTAATCTGCGGTGCCTTCTTGTTGCTAATGATAGAATAATATCCTAATATACCTAGAATAATTTATGTTACAGTTAAGGATTCATAAAGAGTAACATGAAATATAAAAACGGATCATTGTACAAATGTCTACTGTGTCTTTAAAAGAATTTCCTTATAAAGTGGAATCTCTCCCCCGATCATGAAACCATTCTCTCAATTAATCATGATTAAATGCCGAGGGGATATCTGGTGCCATTCAAAACTGATTTACGATCGGTTACACGAAAGGAATGAAGCAGAAAATTAAGGATTTCGTAGGCTTCCCTCAGAAGCTCCTCCATTCCCAAGGATTGGTCTCTCGTTGGCCGGGAGATCTAGTAGTCATTAACGATCAAAACCGGAAACTACGTAGCAAATGGGACGTTTGCCTCCTCAGGCTTTCTAAGACTTTATCAAAGTTGAAGTTGAAAGGATAAAGCGCGAGATAAATGGAATTTGTCAAGGGAAAATTTCCATCCGACCTAGATTTTCGCCTAAGGATATTCTTACGTACACCGGTGTTGGAAATTCCATCGTAGATATGGAAATTAGAAAGACAACGGGTGTGCAAGGAAGTCAGGTGTAACTGATTTCGAATTTGTTCAATTTCCTCTATGGCACGTGACTCATTCTGTCTGGCGATATTAAATTTGAGGCGCAATGAAGTCTATCGAGAAACGTTCTACGTTGAGAGAATATTTCACGATTTATATATAAAAGATGCTTCCCCCACCCCAACCCTCTCCTCCCGTTGCTTTTACATTGTTTCGTAGAAAACAATTTTCTTTAGAAAAATAAAGAAGACGCAAGAGTATTTTTCTTCGTGAGGTAGACCGACAGTATAAGATCCGGCATTGATATTGATTTTCTACCTGTCAGTCTGTACTAATCAATTTGTCTCGATAAGAGAAAAATCTACCAGAGCCGCAAGAAAACTGGTTTCACGTGCCATTGGGATCAGCTGTTACGTCGTACTTCTCTTAGTCAGTAAGAGAAGACAGAATTCAATTCATACGAGCTATAAAACTTACGACGGTGACATTTGATTTTTTAATTTAATTAATTACCTTTGATACAGTATTGTTTAAAATGAATCACTCTGCAACTTTAGATTACATTTCATGTCCGCTTTATCGAATCTTCTCTGTCAGACGTAAACTAAGGCACGTTATTTTCGCAACGAAGCGTGAAATAGCTCATGAATTTCACGTGAGGCAACGATCGTAAAGTATCTCAGATAACAAGTCTGGAACTACACGACATTTTGATAAATACACGTAGGAATAATCTCACGAGCACATGGAAATCCAGGTGGAATAAATCCGAAGAATTAGAAAGTTGTTTCGTTACGTGCCATTTTTCTCTGTTAGAAAAGTCGTCTTGTTATCGTGCCAAATATCTGAGAAAAGTTGAGCTGAACGAAATTACAGATGTAAAAATAAGATGAAACGATATAAATACGCCGTGGTTCTTGAACAAGTTTACGACGTCAGTAGGTACGTATATTGCAGAGATACTATATAACTGACAGCATCGGAAATATCCTGCGAAGGAGACATTTTTTCCTTTAATTATAATTATACAGTTTTGCTGTAATTTACCTTGTGTGCACGTGCGCCTGCATGGAGCAAATTTACTTTGTCCTTTTTTTCAAATAATTATTGGACTTTTTTCTATGCTTTAATATTCAAAAGAAAAACTCTTGAGAAACGTGTATAAATTCTGCTGTCGTGCTGGCTAAGTGTGTTTCTAGGTAAAATGTATACCAAGCAAAGTGGAAGGTATCGTGGTCCACTAAATTGTGTTTCCACACCTGAATTTCCATTCCTTCTTCCATTTCGGTCAGAAAGTAAAGAGCTTTACCGGGAAAAAGAAAGGATTAAAAAGTTACAAAAGGACAGATATCATCAGACATCGAGAAGAAAGGATATCGCAGGACTTTTTTGTCTTGAGAATAAGTAAGTAATAACAAATGAGTTTTCATTGATTTGAACACTCAAGCTTTTGGAGAATTTCATATTTTTTCTTTAAAACGATGAGAAGGTTGTCAACTTATTTTTACAATACTTCAACAATCTCACGCTTTTGAATTAGAAGGTGTGTCTTAACATTAGAAATGGAAAGGGTGACAAATGATCAGATTTATAAATATCATATTCGTACTACAAGTTCCATGGGGGGGGGGGAGGAGCCTTCGTTTATTTATTCTTCCATCCTGTGGCAGGAAAAGAGAGGGTGAGTCTGAAATTTATTATATAAATTATGGTAAAACTGTAGGATATCTTTATCACAAGCGCGAATCAGCCAAGTGAACAAGCGGAGAAGCTTGTATTTCTGAGAACGTTAAACCATTCCAATTATCATTCCATTTGTTATTCCGCTTGCATCGTATCAAACGACGGTTTCGCATGATTGAGATTGATTCGTTGAATTCCTGACAAAAACGAGACCCAATGTGACAAGTCATTATTCAAAAAAGGCATTTTCCTTCTTCAAAATATCGAAACGGACTAGCTTAAAACGCAG